CAGCATCAGGACCATCAGCTGCGGCCCCCACAGCATCAGGACCATCAGCTGCGGCCCCCACAGCATCAGGACCATCAGCTGCGGCCCCCACAGCATCAGGACCATCAGCTGCGGCCCCCACAGCATCAGGACCATCAGCTGCAGCAACAACAGCATCAGGACCATCAGCTGCGTCCCCGACAGCATCAGGACCATCAGCTGCGGCCTCCACAGCATCAGGACCATCAGCTGCGGCCCCCACAGCATCAGGACCATCAGCTGCGGCCCCCACAGCATCAGGACCATCAGCTGCGGCCCCCACAGCATCAGGACCATCAGCTGCGGCCCCCACAGCATCAGGACCATCAGCTGCGGCCTCCACAGCATCAGGACCATCAGCTGCAGCCTCCACAGCATCAGGACCATCAACTGCGGCCCCCACAGCATCAGGATCATCAGCTGCGGCCCCCACAGCAGCAGGACCATCAGCTGTGGCCCCCACAGCATCAGGACCATCAGCTGCGGCCCCCACAGCATCAGGACCATCAGCTGCGGCCCCCACAACATCAGGACCATCAGCTGCGGCCCCCACAGGACCATCAGCTGCAGCCCCCACAGCATCAGGACCATCAGCTGCGGCCCCCACAGCATCAGGACCATCAGCAGCAGCCTCCACAGCATCAGGACCACCAGCTGCGGCCCCCACAGCATCAGGACCATCAGCTGCAGCCCCCACAGCATCAGGACCATCAGCAGCAGCCTCCACAGCATCAGGACCACCAGCTGCGGCCCCCACAGCATCAGAACCATCAGCTGCGGCCCCCACAGAATCAGGACCATCAGCTGCGGCCCCCACAGCATCAGGACCATCAGCTGCGGCCCCCACAGCATCAGGACCATCAGCTGCAGCCTCCACAGCATCAGGACCATCAGCTGTGGCACCCACAGCATCAGGACCATCAGCAGCAGCCTCCACAGCATCAGGACCATCAGCTGTGGCACCCACAGCATCAGGACCATCAGCAGCAGCCTCCACAGCATCAGGACCATCAGCTGTGGCACCCACAGCATCAGGACCATCAGCAGCAGCCTCCACAGCATCAGGACCATCAGCTGTGGCACCCACAGCATCAGGACCATCAGCAGCAGCCTCCACAGCATCAGGACCATCAGCTGTGGCACCCACAGCATCAGGACCATCAGCAGCAGCCTCCACAGCATCAGGACCATCAGCTGTGGCACCCACAGCATCAGGACCATCAGCAGCAGCCTCCACAGCATCAGGACCATCAGCTGTGGCACCCACAGCATCAGGACCATCAGCAGCAGCCTCCACAGCATCAGGACCATCAGCTGTGGCACCCACAGCAT